GGTCGGGGGAGTGTGGGGGGGGAACTCACTCTCCGAAGTTGACCCTGGAGCCGTTGGTGGCGATGCCCAGCACCCTGGCGGGACCCCCCACCAACAGCACCCCCCGGATGATGATGGCGATGAAGCCGGAGAGCATCACCACCACCTGGAAGACGTCCGTCCAGATGACAGCCTTCATCCCGCCCTGCGCCACACGGAGCCACGGCTGAGTGGTGGGGGGACACCAGGGACCCCCCAGGACCCCCGCCTCGACCCCCCCACCACCTCCCGCACTCCCTATGGTGGTGTAGAAGGTGCAGATGACTCCGGTGGAGAGCAGGGATGCCCAGATGTCCAGACCAGTCACTGGAGGAGATGGGAAGGTGCTGAGCACAGCCCCAGGGGACGCACAGCACATCGGGGGGGGGACACAGGGCTGAGATGTCCCCAAGGTGGGGAGGGGGACAGGACAGGGAGCAGCCCCCACCACACCTTGGTTGAGGATGAGGGCGGGGGCGTAGATGACGATCCCCGTGTACAGCATCTGTGGGGGGAAGAGGTTTGGGGGGTCAGCGCCCCGTCCCACCGGCACCGCGGGCACCGGGCGGGTGACGGGGGGGTCGGGGACGAAGTGTTGCCCCAGCACAGAGCGCAGGCCCTGCGAAAACACGGGGAATTTTCATTCCAAACAGGGCTCCCGCCGGGCGCTGTTTGCTTTGAGCCACGGAAAACACGAGCACGGGATGGAGGACGCTTCCCCGGGGGCTGGGGGCAACGCAGGCACGGCCGGACCCAAGCCCCCTCCCGGGTGCCACCATCCCCCCTGTCCCCAAGCCCCCTCCCGGGTGCCACCTTCCCCCCCATCCCCATCCCACCCGTGCACCACCGACACGCACCGTGGCCACCACGTACTGCAGGGTCCCGCAGAGCCGGACGCTCCTGCTGAACCGCCGCTCCAGGTACTGGGGACAAGGAACAAGGACATGGCTGGGGGGGGGGCACACGCCATCCGGGGCAGGATACCTGGCCCC